GCCCTAAGGTCGCTGCTTAGCCAAGGCCAGCTGCTGATACATCTCCTTGTTTTCCAAGTACTGGGATGGGCTGTTCTTGTGCCTGTAGAATGCTGTCCTGAAGGCTTGCCAGCTTTTCTGGGCTCCCTTGGCCTCCAGAGCTGCCTCCCATGGGTTCCCTCCCACCTACCAGTTCCCTGTATAAGCTGAAGTCCAGGGTCTGTACTCTGCTACTCTCTTTCCTCACTCCCTTTAGGCCCCTGAACACTACTACTTGGTGGTCACTACAGCCAAGGCTACCGCATCTTCAGTCAGTTCTCCCTTGCTAGCGAACAGCAGATCCATCTGTGTGTCAGCCCTGGTTGGCCTGGGAAATGGAAATTCTTTGTGAGACCCAGGGTCTATGATCCAGAGGCTTCCCTCAGGTACTGCTGTCTCCATGGCAGCTTCAGCTCAGGGATTTCCTGGCCCAGCATTGATGTCCTTGTGTTTAAAGCCTTTAGTGAATTTTTCACTGTGAATAAGAGTAGTTCCTTTCTGAGTGTATACAATTTGATATCACTCTGCCCTGAAGTGAGGAATTCCACATTTTTGCATTTTTGTTGAACCCTGCACTGCTGGAGAGCAACTGCCTCCAGCTGGTCCTGAGCCAGGGCACTGCCAGCGCACCCGCACGGGTCAAGGCCGTGCTGCGCTGCCTCGCGTGCTGCCCTGCAAGGGGGAAGGACGACATGAAGAGGCATCGCGTGCCTCAAGCCCAGGCTGTGCTCTCCATGCGTGGCCAGGTGCCGGCTCTGCATAGCCACAGCAGAACTGTGGGGCACCACTGTATAGCTGGGGGATATCCTGGAGGGGGGGGCGGTGGAGGAAGCTGGCAGCTCAGGGAGGTGGTGGAGGTGTCACAGGGGCGACAAGGGAAAGGCGCCAGTCCTAGTGCCCATGGGAACATCTGCATGGGGCCTGGGACGTGATGGAGCTGCATGGGGCGCAAGAGGCAGGCAGGGATGGGTGGGCTGTGGGACGTGGGAGAGGTGTCGTACCTGCTGCAGGCCTGACCTGGCCCTGGCTAGCACGGTGTGCAGTGCTGGGAACACCGGTGCTGCCCTGGGCAGAGCGGGCTCTGTATGAGGCTGTGTGAGGGCTGGGCTATGCCAGGAGCATGCTGTAGGCAGAATGAGAGGACAAGGCTTGGAGGGAGAGTAACGCTCCATGTGCTGTGCACAGCTGCAGCAGGTTCCAGAGAAATGCCATGCTTGCAGCCAAGCACATCTTTACAAGGCCGAGAGACAGGCGGGAGCGCTGGCCCGGCGCTGCTCAGAAACCCTGGCTCATTCTGGACTCGAGCAGGATGCTCTGCAGGACCCCGAGTCTCGGTCTCCCTCTGTCTTCAAGATCAAGGCGCTGACGGCTGTCAGAAACACATCCCATGTGCAACAGCAGGATGCATGCATGCAGCCGTTTTCCCCTGATGGAAAAGGATTTCCCTTTGGAGAATGAGGTCCTGCAGGATAGAACAGGAAAGCTACAGGCCAGAAAACACTCTGACTGTGCAGCTGGTTTACCCAGGAAGGGGATGGGTTACCCACCAATACCAATACCAATACCAATACCGGGGTTTAGTAGAACAACCGCCCCTTAGTCTTACAAGGGCAGAATCAGACTCAGGGGTTGTAGCAGTGATTAGAAGTAGGTCTCCAACAGAGAACATAATGAACCGTAGAAACAGTTCACCTGGCTTCCTTCTCACTGCTGATCTGGCCGGGCCTGTGAGTGGGAACATCTGGACTCTCGATGTCAGAGCTCCAGGGTCACCACACTCCCTGCCTCACGGGGCACCCTCTGGAGTCCCGACATGGGGAGAGAGTGCTGAACTCTGGCATCACTGCTGTCGGACGACATGGCACAGAACTTTTTCGCCCAATGTGGGAAGTCTCCCCACACTTGCGCTTTGTGAACGCTTCTATTCTTGGCACATGGGGTTGCAGCTGTACATACTATAGTCCTGGGCAGAAACACAGCAAGCGCTTCGCCTCTGCACGTTGTGCCTGGTGTATTCATGGTGATCCTGCGAGCTTGTGCAGGTGTCTTGTTCCCAGCTGCAGCCTTCTTCTCTCCCTCCTCTCACATGGCTCCTCCTGGGGACAGCCAGTCTTGGCCCTGCAGGATGTTCAAAAAAGTCAGAGGTGAGGGTGCTGTAGGGCCTCTGTTCAGGCTCCGGGCTCTGATTCCTGCTCCCCCGTATTCAAGCAGCAGGCCTTGCACAGCCCCGAATGGAGTGTTTCCCGGGCTGTTCCATAGACAGCTTGACCCCATTTCCCTCTCATTTCTCAGGCAAACATCAGGACCCACATAAGTAAGCTACAGTAAAACCAGCTGTTGATCCAAGAACCTGGGGCTGCCCTGCATTAGCTTCTAGCAAAGTTCCTAGAAAAATATCCAGACTTTGTTTAAGATTTTTGAGGAGTGGTGAAATCACCACAGGCCTTGATGAGCCCTTTTGGTGGCTAATTGTCCTCACATCCCAGAATGTGCCCCACATCCCAACCAGCGTATGCTCTGCAGTCTGCGGCCGTGGGTCCCCGCTGACTGGGAGGTGGCTGCCGGACCTAGTGGACCCACACTGCCTCTCAGAGACGTCCCCATCACCCCAGGTGCAGCAGGGATCTACGCTGCCTTCGGGGCTTGCTGGCTCCACAAAGCAGTCTTGCAGGGAGATGGCTCTGGGTACCAGGGAGCAGCCAGGGAGATGATGCTGTACTGTGCTATAGGGAGAGCTCATCCATTCCACACACACACCCCCCCCCCATTCCCAAAGTCTGACCCAGCTCCTGTGGCAGAAAGCTGGGTTTCCAGGTAGCCTCCCCTGGGGGTATCTCTCCTAGGGTGGTGGCCGTCAGCGGATGGTTAAGTTGGGGAAGTGAGGCTGTTCAGGAAGCACCAGAGCCCTTGGCCCAAGGAGCGTAAGGAAAATATCTTACTGTGCTGCAGATCTTGTTGCTGTACGGTGCAGCTGACATGCATTTTAGAGCACTTTCAGAGAGATAAGCCATTCATTTTCATAGGATCACAGAGCGTTTTGGGTTGGGAGGGACCTTTAAAGGTCATCTAGTTCAACCAGTTCTTTCTTTTTGAAGGAAGGAAGTGATTGATTTGCTACATAGTGCCTATTCCAGTCACTGTGGCAGCTTATCAGTTTCATTTCCATCTGCAGTGGTAGAGAACGCTACTGGATAAAACCCAGGCACGGCACACAGCTCAAGTGTGTTGGTACAGGGCTCTTACCCCGGCAATAGCAGCCAGCATGGAGCCAAAATGCAGGTAACCTGAAAGCAGCAATGTCAGTGGGGTCAGGTTTGTGCTCTCAGATGAGCAGCTCCACAGCAAAGGGAGCTGGGGCAGGAGAGAGGGAGGATGCTGAGCGCGGGGGGAGGCAGGTGGGTCCAATTTCCCAAATACTTTCTGGGCACCTGTGGCACCTGTGGCCCCGCAGATGGAGCCGGGAAGGGGGATCCTGTTTCATGGCGCTTCTTCGGGCAGCTGGAGCAGGGCTGGGGGGCAAATACTCTGTACAAGGGAGCGTGGTGCTCCATGTGGATGGGCGCTCAGCTTCTCCCCGCAGGCGTCCCCTTAGACCGCAGGCGGCAGGGCAGGAGAGCGGGCATGGCGCTGGCTGTCTCAGGCGCTGCCTCCCTCCCTGGGGCACAGAGCGTATGGTCGGGGGGGAGGGAGGTCCCACCTCTACCTGGTTTGGTTTCTCTTCCCCGGCCCAGCTGCTCTCCGTGCTCTCCCCTGTTGTCCCTCCACCTCTGACGGCGGGTGAGCGGCTCAGGTTAGGGGCCCTGCCCGAAGGAAAGAGCCGCTTGCAGCCCCCAGCTGGGCCCTTTCCTTGGCGCGTGTGCAACGTTCCTCTGCTCCTCGCTCACGGGAGCCGAGGCCCCAGCGCTGCTGCTGGGAGGAGCTGTGGCTGACGAGGCCTGAACTCCACTTCACCCGGGCCTGGCCCAGCTGCCTCCCTCCTGGCTCCGTCCTCCAGCTTTGTTCTCCATGCAGAGCTCCCAGCTGGTGGACGAGCCGTGGGCAGTGATGCCGGGGTCAGGAGCTGTTTTCTGCTGACCTGAGCTCCGCAAGGAGCCCGAGGAGGAACTGTGACCTTGCAAGTGGGGAGCAGCTTTAATCCTCCTGCTGTGTCCGTCACTGCTAACGCGATTCGTGGGCCCCAGTGGGCGCCGGTGGGCCCTGGCGGTCCCCAGTCCTGGGAGCCCAGGGCTGCTGGGCGCAGAGCTCTGGCAGAGCAGGACAGAGCCAGGGGCATGGTGAAGAGGGAGCTGGTTTTCTTCCTGTCTCGTCTTCAGCATCTTTGCAGAAAAGAAGGAGCTAATGGTCAGGGGCAGCTGCTGCAGCAGCGCAGGCTGTCCCTGCCTGGCCGATCCAGCTGGGTGCAATGGGGATGCTTGGCTGCCAGGTCCTTGGCACCTGTGTGAGGCCTGGCCTTTCTGCACCCCCTCTCTGCACGGCCTTTTCCTCTACTAAGGCAAGGAACCTGTTGACCTTGGTTGTAGATGCTGCCCCAGGGGTGCAAGAAGGGAGGTATCACCTGAAACAAGGCACGTCTGGCGGTGCAGGGACCCATGGCAGCACTGTAGACAGAAAGCACAGTGCAGCCCTTGTGAGTCTGCAGTGCTGTGCTCCCCCTCCTCTGTGTCCCCTCACAGGCACTAGGCCAGCACAGGCTGATCCTGGGGTGCCCCACAGCTGCCCGCGGTGCTGCCCAGGGCACTGTCTGCAGCCAGCAAGCCCTGGGAGACCCTGTCCTCTTGCAGCAGGGGCTGCAGAGGAAGTGGTGGCTTGTCTGGAGCAAGAATAGCAGGGTTGAGGTGGTAACTGTCAGTCGTCTTTGCCATGGCCAGCCTTGAGGGCTGTGCAGTGGTTGTGGGCCACAGAGCAGAGGGCGGCACTGGGTTGTGGAGGTGGTCGTGGTGATGGGCTGGGTCTTCTCTGTGATGCTGGCCCTGTTCACGCAGTGCCTTCCCTCATGCAGGTGACAGCCACAGATGCAGACAGTGGCACGTTTGGCTCCCTGTCCTACTCCATCGGTTCTGGCATTGGCAGTGTTGTCCCCACGCAGTTCAGCATCGACAAGCACACGGGGCAGCTGTGCACTGTGCAGCCTCTGGATCGTGATGAGGGCACGTCTGCCTACGATTTCACCATCACTGCTGTCGATGGGGTGAGTGCTGGAGAGGCCGCAGGGACGCGATGCTGCTGACTCAGCACCGTGCAGGGGATACTGTTGTCCTTGCCCCACCTCTTTGCACCGTCTCCAGTCTGGTTCTTCCACAGGGTGGCCTGAACTCCATGGTGTACGTGAAGGTTTTCCTGGAGGACATAAACGACAACCGGCCGGTGTTTTACCCGCTGGAGTATGCTGCCAGCATCAGCACACAGAGCATGCCGGGTACCGCTGTGCTGCGTGTCACTGCCCACGACAAGGATGAGGGGCTGAACGGGAGAGTGACCTACCGCATTGTCCTGGGAAACTCACCCCCTCTCTTCTCCCTCAACAAGGACACAGGTGAGAGAAAGCTCAGGGCGCAGCCAGAGCAGGCATCAGGCAGAGCAGCGGGATGTGGGCAGGTGTAACAGCCAGCCTGGGGGCCACTGAGGCCATCTCAGCAGTGCAGTCCGCCACCAGAACATGTCTGTTCCTCTCCCTGCCGCATCTTCCCTGCCTTGGCATCTTGAGCCTCTGGCAACCCCTTCCCAGACTCGGTCTCTGATCTCTTGGTTTTGCTCCCTGCTCTTCTCCTCATTTGTCCTGTTTTCCTTCCTCTCCCTCATTCCCTCTCTCCGACTCACTGCGCCTTTCCTCCTGCATGCTGCTTCCTTTGCCCCATCAGGCTGTATCCTGCTTAGTTTCTCACCCCTGCCCAGTTCCCTCCTCTCCCCTGCTCAGTTTACTCCCCTTCCCTGTAACCCTGTCGCACTCCATCCCACCTTTCTTTCGGCTGCATCCACTCTGCCTTGCTTTGGCCACCAAAGCCAGAGCAGTTTCCACTGGAGAGGTCGGTGCATGGGCGTGCAGTGCCAGGGGCTCTCAGCAGGACAGGAAGGTGTCTCAGCACAGACATTGTGGTCTCTCCATACTGGTCCCCAAGAATTTGACTGGGACAAGATAGACCTACCAGCCATCCTCACACAGGGCCACATCCTTTGTAGGGACTGTCGAGGACGGTCCTTCAGTTCTGCATCTCCTCCGAGAGCCTCCCTGCTAGCCCAGATCCCACCTGCTGTGCCGTGACCCTCACCCTGTGCCCCACACTGGAAGCCCTATTCCTTCCTTTCCCTCTCACAAGACCTGCCCTCTGGCTCATTTCCCCCAGCCCTTGCCACTGCTTAGCTCAGGTTTGGGCTTAAGGTGGAGAAGGGAGGATTTGGGGAGGCTTTCCCGGGAGGGTTCATCCTCTTTGCTCCAGCTCTTCCATGGCAAGCTCCCCCCTGCAACGTGCATTGTTTACTGCCCCCTTAGGTCTTTCTTTTCAAGCTGATGGTTTGGCCTGTCCCCGTGGTGCCAAATGGCAGGCAGGGGTGCAGGCATAGTGCCTTCTGAACTGCTTTCTCTCCTAGGTGTCATCTCCCTCTCATGGTCTCTGAGTGGTAAAGCCAACACCCTGGTGCAGCTCGTGATCTCTGCACAAGATGGTGGGGGCCTCCAGGCACAGCCAAACGCCCGGGTGAACATCAGCATCGTGGAGGGCACGGTCTCACCCCCTGTCTTTGAGCAAGCTCAGTACTTCTTCACAGTGCCTGAGGACATGCTGCAGGGTGCCAATGTGGGGGCTGTCCGGGCCCAGAACCCTCCAGGTAGGGGCTTGTCCCTTCTGTACGCAGTCGCTGTCCCTCTCCCTGCACCATCTCAAAGGTCCGGTGCCACACTGCTTCGCAGAACAACCCTGTTCCAGGCACTCCATGCACGCACAGGCACGTGCGCCCGAACGTGCACCCGTGCAGTGGTCACTCCGCTCAGTGCACGCTCTCACACACGCTCGTGCACGTGCAGCTGTGCACACTTGCACACGTACTGTACACCTCCCAGCCAGAGCCCACTGCAGGCAGCGCTGCCCAACCCGCTGCTGTCTGTAGGGGCTGAGGAGCTGAGCCAGGGGCACAAATGGTTCTTCCTGCCTCGTTCCCTTGTCCACAGGTCATGCCGATGACATCTTTTATTCCATCTCCTCGGGGGATCCTCATGGCTACTTTTCCATCGACTCTGCCTCCGGGCAGCTCCGCACCAGCCTGCCCCTTGATCACGAGTCCCAGGCAGTCCTCATTCTGGATGTCCAGGCCCGAAGCGGTTCACCTCCTGCCTATAGCAACACCCGTGTGAAAATCTCTGTGTCAGATGTGAATGACAACGTGCCGGTGTTCCCAGCCCCTTCCGACTCCATCCTGCTGCCGGAGGCCACGGAACCTGGGACCACAGTGTACACTTTGCAGGCAGAGGACCATGACAGTGGTGCCAACGGTCAGGTGAATTTTGAGCTGGTGTCAGGAGGTGATGGCACCTTCAGTGTGGAGCGCTCCTCGGGGGCAGTGCGACTGATCGGGGCCCTGCAATATGAAGCCAGCGCAGCCTACCGGCTGGCCATTGTGGCCCGAGATGGTGGCGTTCCCCAGCTCAGCTCCACGTTCACGCTGCTGGTGCATGTGCAAGCCGAGCATGACAACGGGCCCATCTTTGACACACTCACGTACCGCGTGGAGGTGCAGGAAGGTGTGCCGGTCTCCACCCGCTTCCTGCAGGTGCGGGCCCTGGCACGCGATGCAGAATCCGTGACCCTTACCTACCACTTGCGTGCAGACGGGGATGCAGCCAGCTTCGGCATCGTGCCTGAGAGCGGCTGGCTGTACGTCAAAAGCGCGCTGGACCGGGAGACGCGGGACCTGTACGTGCTCACAGTGCTGGCCTCGGCGGGAGGCAGCGGTGCAGGGGGGGAAGCCCGGAAAACAGGCACCAGCACTGTACGGATCAGCATCACCGATGAGAACGACAACAGCCCCCGGCTGAGCGAGGAGCGTTACTTTTTCACTGTTCCTGAGAATCAGGCTCCTGGTAGCAGCGTGGGGAGGGTGATGGCAAGCGACCGGGATGCTGGACAGAACAGCCGGCTCACCTACCGCCTGCTCCAGCACGATCCGAACTTCCTTATCCACACGCAGACAGGTGAGAAACACCCCAGCAGGCTGTGCTGCCATTCAGAGAGACCTGGACAGGCTGGAGAGCTGGGCGGGGAGACATTTAATGAAATACAACAAGGGCAAGTCCTGTATCTGGGAAAGAACCACCCCATGGACCAGTACAGGCTGGTGACTGAGCTGTTAGAGAGCAGCGTAGGGGCAAGGGACCTGGGGGTCCTGGTGGGCAGCAGGGTGACCATGACCCAGCAAGGTGCCCTCGTGGCCAAGAAGGGCAGTTGCATCCTGGGGTGTATTGGGAGGGGGTGGTCAGTAGGTCCAGAGAGGTTCTCCTCCCCTTCTCCTCTGCCCTGGTGAGACCCCATCTGGAATAGTGTGTCCAGCTCTGGGCGTCCCAGTTCAGGAAGGACGGGGAACTGCTGGAAAGAGTCCAGTGCAGAGCCACAAAGGTGATGAAGGGGGTGGAACACCTCCCTTATGCTGAAAGGCTGAGGGACCTGGGGTTGTTTAGCCTGGAGAGGAGATCTTACCAATGCTTATAAATATCTAAAGGACAGGTGTCAGGAGGACGGGGCCAGGCTCTTCTCAGTGGTGCCCAGCGACAGGACAAGGGGCAATGGGCACAAGCTGGAGCACAGGCGGTTCCACCTCAATGTGAGGAAAAACTTCTTTACCCTGAGGGTGACAGAGCCCTGGCACAGGCTGGCCCGGGGGGGTGTGGGGGCTTCAGACATTCAAAACCCTCCTGGACACGTTCCTGTGTGACCTACTCTGGGTGGTCCTGCTCTGGCAGGAGGGTTGGACTAGGTGATCTTTCGAGGTCCCTTCCCACTCCTGACATTCTGTGATTCTGTGAGAGACTTGCTGGCTTCCTAGGCTGGGGAGAAAGCCCAGGGCAGGTCAAAGTGACATGGGCCAAGCCAGTGCTGCAACAGAATATTCGTCTTCCTTCCCCTGCAGTGCTGGGCTCCCCAGCAACATACCTGAGCACAGGCTCATCTCTGAAGTGGTTTTGGGGCTGAGCTGTGTCCCCACTTCTCCCTCACAGGGGAGCTCAGCACCAAGCGTAGCCTGGACCGGGAGCAGCAGTCCAGCTACCAGCTCTTGGTGATCGTGCAGGATGGGGGAGCACCACCCCGCAGTGCCACAGGAACCGTCTATGTCACCGTGCTGGATGAGAACGACAATGCTCCTGCTTTTCTTCACGTGGCCAGTGGTCAGGAGCTGCCCGTGCAGGTAGGGCGGGAGCCCTGGTGAGGCAGGGGTGTGATAGCCTCTGGGTTTGGGGGCAGGGGGTTCTGTGGGGGGAGAGGAGTGAGCAGGGGCACCCAGGAGAGTTTCAGGGCGGGAGATAAGCAGGCACAAGTTGCATCCGTGCAGCAGCTGGGGCAGTCCGGTAAATCTGATTGAGATGTGGTAAGACAGGCAGGTCCTTGGGAAATACAGACATCCCTGTGCACAGAGCAGGGGAGGACTTCAGAGGGCTCTGAGACCAGCAGGACGGGCCAGCAGGCAGAAGCTCTTGGCTCATACATGTCTGCAAGAAGGGAAGGCGAAAGGGAGCCCTAAACCTGACCCAGCAGAGCCAGGGGCGAAACACTTGCGAGCCAGGAGGCATGAGGTGCCCTTAGCGTCTAGGTCTCAGGACTTTTGGTACAGCCACTTGGCTTCCTGGGAGGTCAAGGAAGAGCACAGCCCAGCTGGACTTCGCACTCACAAGGATTTTCTGAGAATCCGCTGTGGGTCCCAGCCCAGCTGTTCCTCTCAGCACTGTGTGGTGGTAGCAGTCACCCGGGCATGGAGCGTGCTCCGACAGAGCTGTGTCTGTGCCACCCAACAGGAGTGGGTGAGGACCAGCCCTCCACCCCCAGCTGGCTGCGTCTGCTCTGCTGCGGCCCCTGTGGGGTGGCACGTGCAGCGAGGGGTTGCTGGAGCCGGCCAAGTGGAGCTGGCAGCAACGGAGCAGGATGGGCAGTCGGGGCCCTGTCCTCATCTCCTCTGCCCAGAGTGGGGAGAACCTGCCGCCGAAAGGATGTGCCGGCTCTGCACGTGGCTGCGCTTCAGGCAGCGCGCTGAAAGCCACTTGCACTCTGCTGGGCTTAAAACATCGTCTCAGCTGCGGTCAAAAAAGCAAATCAAATGCTGAGTTTTATTAGAAAAGAAGCAGAGAATGAAACAAAACATCATTACGCTACATCTCCAATTCTGCACATGCTCTCTCCGTTCTGCTACATAAGCAGTAGTGCTAGAAAAGGTTCAGAAAAGGATGTTAATGGGATCAAGATAATGGTTTCCACACAGAAAGAAAATACTCGAACATTCTTTGGCATGGACGAAACTGCAGGAGTGTAGCAGAGGTGTGCAGTGAATGGCACAGGGAAAGCCATGGGGAAATTAGAAGTTGCTTTTTTCACAAGACAAGACCTAGGCAGCTTCGTAAGACATGACCAGGCAGCAGGTTTAAAATAAACAAAGGCAGTACTCTTCAGTGCAGAACATAATTAAATTGTGAAATCATTGCCAAAAGTTGCATGGGTTCAAAATTAGATGAATTCATGGAAAGAAAAAAATCCATCAAAGGCTGTAGAACAAAAATATGATCTGTGGCTCAGGAAGTGACTTAGCCACAGACTGCTGGAAGCTGGGGAGCTTTCACAGGAGGATTATTCCATACGTACCCTATTTCTTGCATATCCACCGCCAGCCACTGTCAGAGCTATGCCCGTGGTTGCGACGGCGCTCTGATCTTTGGACCAAGCTGGTATTTGCAACAGCCTTCTTGGAGGGTGGACACCTGACCTGGACAAGCCTGCTTGGTAGCAATTTTACGATGGCTGAGGTTTTTGCAAAGGCGAGACCACTTCTACTGCTGTTTATTCCTCTGTTTGTGCATCTGAAATGGCGTTTGTACGTGGAGCCTGTGTGGATGCTGCTCATTTGTCTCCTCTGCTGAGTCACTGCTTTCCTCAGATGGAGTTTGATTCCTCGTGGAAGAGGAGCATGGCCGTGCACGTGAAGCAGGAGCCCCTTGTGTCCTGGTTGGGGGCAATTAGGGACAGCATGGGGGGCAGGCCCCGCCCCAGCCGGTTACAGAGGGGGAGTTGGAAGGGGCCTCCTAAGCATGGTCCCACTCGGAGGTGTCCACGCAGATGCTCCCTTTCACAAACAGCCAAGCTATATTTAGAAGATCTTCTGCTTCCATCACTGCTGTGAAATGCTGTTCCAGATTCCTTGATCTGGTAGTTAGAAACCGTCTCTTAATTTCCAGCCTAAACTAATTTCTGGCCACTTTATACTCATTTGTTCTTGTGCCAATATTGTGTTTTTGCTTAAACAGCTCTTCTCTTTCCTTGGAATTTCCCTCTCCTCTCCCCAGTGTTTACCGAGCGCAGTCACATCACTGCTTGGCCTGGCTAAACAAGTCCAGCTCCTCTGGTCCCCCCTCCTTGAGCGCCACCAGCGTGGTGCCAGCAGCTTGTGCAACAGCATTAACGCTTGCCTCCTCTCAGGAGCTTGCAGCCTCTTTCCTTGGATTCTTGCTCGGATTCCACTTGTCTTTTTCATAAATGCATTGAAATGTTACCACACAGAGGTGACCTGGCACAGCCGGACCTGTGAGGATGGTTTGTGCCATGGGATGTGCTGATGGGATGTGAATCTGAGGTCTGTAACCTCAGGATGTGGATTTGAGGTCTTCTGGTGTGGAAGGGACCGCAGAGTCTGTGCCGAGCGGGGAACCTGCTCTGCCAGCGAGGGGTGGGTAGGTGCAAGGAGTCTGTGCCGGAGGAGAGGCAGGTCTGCCACCAGGCATGGGTTGTTTGCCAAGGGTACTCCAAATACTCACTGCTGGCGGGGGGGGGATGCAGTAATGGGGATGCGTCCATTTCCATAACCATGCGGTGCTGTTACAGGTGGTCTCTGTCAGGAAGCTGGTAACTCAGAATGTGGGGTTAGCTGAGCACGTAATTAATGCCTTGATGGTGCTGTGGTGCACCGGCATAAAATGGTGCTCTTAAGTGCCTACAGACAGGCAGCCAGCAGTGCTACCTCGGAACAGAGGAGAGAAGGGAAAAGACCTAAGAGCCCAGGTATCTGAGCCCAGGAAGAACTGCGAGCTGCATTTCCAGAGATGGCTGGTGGCAACTGAGGGAATCACCTTCCATTGCTGGGGTGGCAGCCTCTGAGCCTGTCACACACCTTTGCATTCGCAGCTGAAGGGGTCTGCTGAGGGGCAGAGAGAACCGGGACCGTCGTGGAGCCCTGGATTTTCCTGGCTGTAGAGGCTTTGGATGTAACGTGGGTGAAATAGTATCCTCCCGTCACTGTGCAGGTCGCTGCTGCAGCATGCCGCAACGCTGCTAAGCTGGTTGTTAAACACGGCAGAACGGGAGGAGGGCTGGCAAGGCAGAAACTCCCTTTGCCAGATTTACTGGGGGCTTCTTCATGTTGTCCAAGCTGTGGGTCTTGCCAGGGGCTCTGTGCCTTGGCTGAGGTGCGGGGCTGGTGTAGGAAGGTGCAGATCCTGTGCCGTGCTCGGGGATTTGTGGGGGTGGTCTGAAGGGTGCCCTGTGCCACTCAGCTGCTTCCTGGGCTATGCTGCAGGTGCTGGAAGAGAAGCCATCGGGACTTCTAGTCGCCTCCCTGCAGGCCAAGGACCCTGACGAGGGTGAGAACGGGACCATCATCTACTCACTGATAGGTATGAGCCGCAAAACTGACTCGTTGGTGCTGCTCTCTGCCTCGCAGCCGTCACCCCTGGGGGCAGATGGGTGCCCGCTGCCCAAGCCCTGCCACTCCACGCTGCCTCCTCCACCCCAACCTGCCCCCTGTCCGCCCTCCTCTCTGCCTCTCCCGGCAGCGTTTCACCTTCTCTCTGCAGGAGCCTGGGCAGAGCGTTTCACGCTGCACATGGCTACTGGAGAGCTGCGGACCGCCACAGTTCTACGCCGCTCTGACCGCGCCGAGTACGTCTTCACTGCGACCGCCAGTGACCGGGGCACGGTGCCTCGCAGTACGTCGGCCATCATTCGCATTCAGGTATCAGCACTCCGGCTCCTCTTGCCTCTGCGCCATCTACGCCTCGCTCTCCTCTTGGAGGACACCATCGAGCTACTCAGCAGCCTTCCCTCCCACCTTCTCACCCTCCACCGCCTTCATCCCAGGGCACCCTCGGGCCTTGCTCGGCTGTTGACCCAGCCCTAAAATCTGTGTGGAGAACCTGGGATCGGAAGGGATGTGTCCGTCTGCCGCTGGGCATGTTCGCATTTGTAAAGTGGTCAGTGGCATTGGTAGTAAGCAGCTCTGTCTTTTTCAGACTTGGACAGCCAAGCCTGCCCTAGATCTGCTGTGCAGGCCTTAGAGGTCCCCTGCACAGAGACATTAATTCTTCCCAGCCTCTACTGAAAACAGTGCCCTGATATGCAGGGAGTTCTTCACATCTGTGTAACTGTGGCGCTTGCCGTCTGGTGTGCTGCCCCAGACAGCCAAGCCCTTTCTCTCTGGTTAGTAATGAGCGCCCTTTCGCAGCAGAGGTTCTGGTTTCCCCCAGACAAGGCACTCTCGCAGTACACCATTTCACATCTTCCTGTCTCTCTGCTTGCAGTTCCAAAGGCCATTTTACTCTCCTTGTTTGACATTCTGCTGCTTCTCTGCTGGCAGTGCCCTATAACATAGTCAGCCAGTTCGTAACATACTCAGCTTTCTTTTGCCCTTGCGCCTATCAAAAGTAAATGTCAGCACCAAGAGCCACCTCTGCAAAGGCCTGCTAATCACTCTCCTCGAGCCAGTCGATCTTTTAGTCCTTTCTGGCTCAGAGCCACGCTCATACTGCACCTTTCCCCAGCTTAATGAGCAATCTCCCATGTGCTACTGCATCAGAGCCCAGCCAAAACCCAGGCAAGCTGGATACGCCGCGTTTCCACTGCGTCAGCCCAGCACAGCTGCCTTTAGCCATTCCACAATATGTTTTAGACCCTTTCCTTTTTATGCCATGTCTGTAACTGTTCTTGTCGCTAAAGTTGTTCTACAGCCTTCAACCCGCTGAGGCCAGGCTGGTTGTCCCTGAGGTGCTCGTTTGCATCCCTATAATGTAGCTATTTGCTTGACTGTCACTAGTTTTGATGCCCCTCTGGGCTCACAGTTTTGCTGTATTCTCTTTTCCCCAGCTCTGTGACACGAGGGCACTGAGTTCTTCAACGCATTTTCCCTTCAGATAGCACCATGGCTTTTCATGCATCCCCTCTCCCATCCACAGGTGCACTTCATCCCCAAATTAACTTCACTATCTTTAATAAAAGTAGTGGTAGTATTTATTTATCTTTGGGTCATACTGGGTTATCTTTCTTCTCTGCACCTCTCACCTGGATGAGTGTTAGCTCTCTCCTTGCCCTCTCTTGTTTCTGCTGGTGTCTATTGCCTTTGCAGTATCTAACGCAGTCACAGACTCAGAGAATGGTTGAGCCGGGCAGACACCTCTGGCCGTCTTGTCCGACCCCCCTGCTCCAGCAGGGCCACCCAGAGTCAGTTGCCCAGGACCATGTCCAGGTGGCTTTTGGCTGTCTCCAAGGATGGAGACGCTACCTCCTCCCTGGGCAACCTGTGCCAGGGCTGGGGCACGCTCCCAGTGAAACGTGTCTCCTGATGTTCAGAGGGACCCTGCTGCATTTCAGCTTGTGCCCACGGCCCCTGGTCCTGGCACCGGGCACCACTGGGAAGAGCCGGGCTCTGTCCCCTTTGCACCTTCCCTGCAGGTGCTGGTGCGCTTGGATAAGATCCCCCAAGCCCTCTGCCCGGGTGGCAGCTCTGTCCGTCCTTACCCACGCTGGCTCCCCAGGTGAGGCTCGTCTTTCCCCCTGCCAAACCCGTGCTTGTTCGCAGTGTGTTTTTCAGGTTGCTGTTCATCTATTCGGCCAGAGGAGCTGAGACCTCGCCTCCCTCCTGCTCTCTGCAGGCCTCATGTCCCCCTCTCCACTAGCTCCCCGACAGGACCTCCTGGCCCGCAGCACCCCAGTGCGTGCCCCTCACTGCTGCCTCTCCTCACAGGTACTGCCGTCCTCCCGAGTGCTGCCACGGCCTGATGCCACTGTGCTGACCCTGCACCCGCTCGAGGGGGTCAAGCCGGGGTCTGTGATCGGCTCAGTGGCACCCCCAGATGCCCCCGCACGAGGACAGCTGACCTACACAGTGGTAGGAGGTGGTGGGGATGGCACCTTTGTGGTTGACAGTGTGACGGGGGAGATTTACGCCGCCCAGGAACTGGACTATGAAGCTGGGGCACGGCACGTGCTTCAGGTGAGCGCTGAGGACACGCGGCACGGCTATCCCTCCAGCCGACTGGTGCTGGTACAGATCCACGTACAGGACTGCAATGACCAGGCGCCCACCTTCCCTGAAGACCCCATCACCATCGTGGTGCCCGAGAATGCCCAGGCTGGCTCGTCCATCTTCACCTTCCAGGCGCTGGATGGGGATGGCGTGGGTCCCAATAGCCAAGTGCGCTACGCCCTGCTGCACCAGGAGCCCCCCGGGGCTCCCTTCCAGCTTGATGGCCGCTCAGGGCTGCTGACCCTTCGCCAGGGCCTTGACCGGGAGGCAGCTGCCTCCTTCCTCCTGGTGGTGGAGGCCACGGACCAGGCCCGCAACGTCAGCCAGCGCC